ATTACAGGCTTGAGCCACCACACCCTGCCGAGAACCCTTTTAAAAATGATCCCAACCTGCTCTCAATCGTCTTGAATTAGTACCACACAAAAAATTTACGAGCTCAAAGCCCACACACCGCCATCTGCAACATTTCGATATAATCCAGGAATTCAGAACTGAAGCCACTTAAACTGAATTCGCTTAAATGCAAAGCAGATAAAATGACTAAAGCCATTTTTTAAAGGATTTTAGGGTGGTATCGGGGAGGTGCTCCCTGTAAATGGGCTGATGGGACAATTTTAGAAAGCATTTGTCTTTCTTTTTAGCTGTTAAAACAGCTCAGCTGTCTAAACAGCTCAGAATTTAGCAGAGATCATGAAAGTTGACCTATTACAGATCCTGGTATTTACTAATCTGTCTCCTGTTAGGCCAGAAACCACCGGGAAAAAGCCTGTACTCCGATAACATCAGGTTAATTTGTAAATCAGGAGGGAGGACACTCCAAAGGAAGCTTGAAATGCCACTGGAAAAGGGAGGAGGAAGCCTCCTTTGTAAGATTAGTTTCCCGCCAAAGGAGTCTGAGGAGGGTCTAAGGAGAGCCGGAATCAATTCTGCATGGGACGCGGTTTCTGTGGCGGGATGAAGAAAAGCTGGGATTTACGAGGGATTGGATGCTGTCTTGAGGATACAGCAATTTAGTAATTAGGTACCTTCAGTAACAAAGTAGCGACACTAGTAAGAGAGCACCAGTCACTTAAAGAGGGGTGGATTTGGCGTGTCATAGCTACTGCACGGCTGTGGGAGAAAGAAGTTTCTCAGTTAACTTTGCTGCTGGCTTTTTCTGTATCTGTCCTCCCAGCATAGCTACTTTTTCTCTTTTCAGTACGAGCGTATTTTTTTTCTGTTCGTCCTGGCCCAAACTAGGAGTCATCTTTTACAGCTAGATAGACTCAGGGTCGGCCTTTGGAGCACCGAATTGTTTTCAGTCATATGTTAACATGGACATAAGTCATTTTCACTCAAAAATTTCAATTTTTTTTTTTTTTTTGAGACCGAGTTTCGCTCATGCCCAGGCTGGAGTGCAATGGCGCGATCTCGGCCCACTGCAACCACCACCTCCCGGGTTCAGCGATTCTGCTGCCTCAGCCTCCCAAGTAGCTGGGATTACAGGCATGCGTCACCATGCCCGGCTCATTTTGTAATTTTAGTAGTTTCTCCACGTTGGTCAGCTGGTCTCGAACTGCC